GGGTCTTGGGAACCCCCAACAGGCGATGAGCCTGGATTTCACAGAGTCAACCATAAGCCTATGCCAATACCTTGTGAGAATATAAGTTTAAACCAGTGCTGTCCAACAGAAATATAATGTGAGTCACATGTAATTTTAAATTTTCTAGTAGCCACATTTTAGAAAGTAAAAAGGAACAGCTGAAATTAATTTTAAGAATATATTTTTTACTTAATATATTAAAAATATCATTTCAACAAGTAATGATATAAAAAATTATTGAGATTTTTTACATTCATTTTTTTCATACTAAGTCTTCAAAAAGCAGTGTGTATTTTGCACTCACAGCACACCTCAATTTGGACTAGCCACATTTCAAATCCTCAATAGCTGCACATGGCTAGTGGCTGCCATGTTGGATAGCATGAGTTTAGAGGTTAATGGCAAGGGCTCTGGAGACAGTATATGTAGGTCAGAATCCTCATTTTTTCACTTACCAACTGCATGACCTTAAGCAAAGTTACTTAACCTCTCTGTTTCTTCATCTGTAAAATGAGGACAATTTACCTCCTGATGTTGCAGGGTTTTTTAAAAAAAGTTAATAAATCTAAAGCAGTGCCTAGTTTGTATAGGATGTTGGGTGAATGCTAGCTGTTAACTCTTATCATCCTGAAACTTGGCCCTTAGAGATCAATCTGTCCAACTCCTCATTCTATAATGAGGAAAACTGAGGCCCAGAGTTTGGAAGGCACTAGTTTCAAAAGCAAAGGCTCCAGCCATCCACCTCTCCTCTTGATAGATTCCCTGTCTTCTGGCTGGCTCTGAGATTGGATCTGCTTATTATTCAGAAAACCAGCCTCTCCAGGGCTCCACCTGTGTTCTGCAATCCCTTCTTGATTGCAAAACAAGGCTACTGTTTGAAGTTGGCACTATAGTGATGGGAGCTATGCTGCTTCCCTTCTGCTGATTCCCTCTGGACCCATCAGCTGGAGGAGCTGACCCCATCACCGAGTCCAGAACCCAAGGAACTTACTCAGCAGTCATAGGGCTGGCGGCTTTCCTTGTTTTGGCTTTTTACAGCCCTTCTTGTTTATTAACTTTTGTTCTATCTTCCTTGAAGATACAACATATCAGCACTTTTTAAAAAAACATCCTTTTAAATCATCTTCAGCCCCTGTTCACCCACCAATCAGGTAGGTAGTGAGGTCTCTATGAGTGTCTCAAAAAAGAGAGTTAAGAGGTTGCAGCAGAGCACATACGCAGGCTGGAAACAAAACTAACTTCTGATCCCTCTACAGTGTCTATTTCCACCCCTCCCTTCCTGAAACCCAATGCAAATCATCTACTCTCTTCCAACAAGCTTACTCAGCATAAGTCACGTGTCTCAAATCTTACTAGCAGATGGAATCATACCAGTCTTATAGGCTCAAAATTGTTAGCACATGCTGACCTGAAGCTCTGCTTATTCTATATGCCAAATAGTGTTTTATTTGACATTCATGTATTTGATAGACATTTATTGAGCATCCACTATGTATAAAGCCCTGGGTGAGGTGCTGGGAATGAAGTCTTTGTGGGCCTTATAATTTAGTGCCAAAAACAGACGAGAAGTGATGGTAAAGTACAACAAAGTGCTGAGGTAGGAAATGCCAAATGCTCTAGGAACTATAGTAAAGCAAGGGGACCTGAACAAAATGCTTTCTTTAAGAAGTGACCTGAAAAATGAGTAGGGGAGAGCCAGTTAAAGAGAGAGAGTGCTGAGTGCTCCAGGCAGAGGTAAGAGGGTAGATAAAACCTGGAGGTGGTGGGGGGGGATTGGCATGTTGGAAGAACTGAAAAATGTCCAGTCCAGCTGAGGTAGAGAGAATAAGGAGAGTGTGGCAAAAGATGAAGAAGTGGATGGATTTTGAGGCATTGTCTGAAGTGCTAAGGAATTTGGACTTTAAACCTGAGGACAACTGAAAGCAGCCTGGTGGAGAACAACGTGTTTCAAAACTTAGATTCCCTGGAAACACATCAACCACAGGTGCTAAAATGGCTGATGACAGGAGACTAGGAAGTAGTGTTTTCATTCCCGTCATGCTCCCCCAACCTCCCCACCGCACTGTCATGTAACCAGTACTCCTAAGTTTTGATCAGCACAAGCTTTCCTCAGACCCTTGGAACCAAAGAGCCACAGAGAACACCACTGAGAGACTGTCAACACCCTTGGTGAATGGATGGGCCAACCGAGACCCAGAGAAGGAAAGTAACTTGTCCGTGGCCCCATAGCAATCCATGAGTATCACTTTGGGCCACTGGGTCCTTCTTGTCTCTCCCAAGGAAACTGAACACTAGAGCTGGAACAAGGGGAGACAAGGGAGGCACGTAGGGGTCAAAAATGTAAGGAGGCACCTGCTCCCAGGTGCTAGCCAGTCCTGCACTTGCATGACCCTGTGTGCCCTGCTTGCCTCAGCCTCATGGGGTCTGCTGGACACACCTTTGAGGGCAGGGACTGCAGCTTCTAGAAAATTCTTTGACATCTTTCATGGTGTTAACATGTTGCAAGGTATATATTATGAGGGTCACTAGATGCCTACTGGTGCTAATGAACAGTGGATTTCAGACAAACTGATATATGTATAGATGTTTGTATTTTTGGGTAAATATGAACCTCAAAAGACAGCAGAACAACATGGAGAGGGCCTGAGACTGGATTCTAGAGACCTAGATTCTGGTCCCTTCTCTGCCATCAATTTGCTTTGGGAACTTGGGTAAATTGTTCATCATCTCTAGGCTTCAGTGAATTGAGATGGTTGAATAAATAACATTTATTGAGCACATACTCTGTATCAGCTGCTGTTCATATACTTCTGTGCTTTAACTTAAGTTCTTCCAGGCCTTCAAAGTTTCTTCCATTTCAACAGGCTGTGGTTTGAGGTAGGAAGGTTTCATGGAGAATGTGAAACTTGAGACCGACCTTCCAAATTCCCACATTAATACCTTGAATCATAGTAAAGGCGTGGTATCTCAAGGTGTCTCTCGGTTAGAAGATATTTCTAGAAGGCATCTAATCCTGGGAATCATACCACTAAGGCTATAGTCAGGCCAGCTGCCTTGGAATCACCTTTGGAACATGTCTGAAGGCAGATTCTCAGCCTCTGGCCCTAGAGATTCTAATGCAATGATTCCAAAGTGGGGCCCAGGAATCTGTATTAATAGCTTCCTGATTGACTCTGGTAGGCAGACAGATTTGAGAAGCACTAATTCCAGTGCATTCCCTATCTGTGCACAGGATCATACCCAGACAGCCCAGACCTGGAGCTTCCTGGCCTGACCGTAAGTATCACCAAGCAGAGAAACAAATTCAATGATTGGTTAACTCAGCAAATATTAAACATCTGCTGTGTGCCAGGCGGTGATCATGGGCCCTACCCTCAAGGAACTCCTGATCTAGGTCTGTCATTTATTTTACAAGCAAGTCATCTAGCCAAGGCCAGAAGGACCTAAGAGGTCATTAGCCAATCTCTCATTACACAGTTGGTGAAACTGAGACCCGAGAGAGAAAGCAATGTGTTCAAGACTACACAGGGAGCAAGTGTATTTTCTGCTTCCAGACCAACTGAGGTGTCCTGTTGGGGCTCAGAAAATAATACCCCAAAGTATGGTGCCTTGGCATGCAGAGTACTTGGAACCAAAGGACAAAGAAAGGGCCTCAGAAGCAAAGTCTCCTTCTGTCTTTCTCCTGCCATTTGTTCTCCTGCTCCCCTTTCTCCCCCAAGACAAGCCATAGAAACTAGAATTCTCCTTCCCCAAGGTGGGTCATAGAAACCAGAATCCCTCTCCTCCAAAGCCAGCCATAAAACCTAGAAATATTACTCTAGCCTTCCCCTGCCTTTTTGTTTAGGTCTGACCATAAAGAAATTCTCTGACTTATCCTGTCTGAGAGTAAGTTATAAGACCATCTTTCCAAATTCCCATGTGGACATTAATATCTTGAATCATAGTAAAGGTGCGGTATCTCAAGGCGTCTCTTGGTTAGAAGAGATTTCTATAAGGCACCTAAACCTGGGACTCATACCACCAAGTTTATAGCCTCAGATTCTCAGCCTCTTTCCAGAGGGGTCCTGCCCCATACCTGGGAAGAAGGAATGCCACACAGAGAAGTCAAGAAGACTCTGAATAGACAGGCCTTGCTGGGTTTGCCCCCTCAGCCTTTTAGCATTAGATCAGATCCTTTTTGTCCAATCACACTTCTGCAGGGCTGTCCACTCTTTATCAAACCTAAGTATAAAAATAATTTTTTCCTGGGTCTTTGGATCTTCATTTCTGAAAGCTCCATGTCATGCAAAACTTTGATTAAATTAATATGTATGCTTTTCTCTTGTTAACATGTCTTGTGTTATAGGAGTGTCACCCATGACCTTTATGATGGGGGAGAAAGGAATCACACTTTTTCTGCCCCTGCAGTTCCAATGCCCTATCCAGGAGGGGGCTGCATTCAAAATCCTAGGACACCCCCACTTTGTTTCTTAAGCACTAAACCTGCACATAGCAAATGTTCCTAAAAGTCTAACTTCAGATCTTGCTGAAATTTTAAATCCTCAGCATCCAGGGTATCACGGGGTGTTTGTTAAACCTACGAATAAGAAAAGCTTCCCAAAATTGAGCCTTCCATCAGTCTTGGGTGCTATTTAGCCCCCTTGCCATGGCTGTATTGGAGAATGCTGTGCCTGCCGCATTTTAGAACCGAAAGAGGAGGGAGCCGCCTCGCGCGTTCACAAGGACCTGACTCCCATCTCTCTGCCCAGACTTGCTTATGTCACTGTCGCCCGGGATCTGGGGTGGGGGAGAGAGCAGGGAGTCGTGCCCGCCCCCGAAATCCCAGACGCCCTGCGATTGGCTACAAGGACTCCGGCCTGGCCGAGGATTGGCCATCGCTGAGGGCTTGAAAGGTGTCTGGGAGCGTCGGACAGCTCAGACGGGCCGGGCCCAGGATCAGACACGGTCTAGGCGAGCCTGAGGCGCGCCCCCAGCCCACCATGGCCCGGCTCCTCCGGGCGTCCTGCCTTCTCTCCCTGCTCCTGGCGGGCTTCGTCTCGCCGAGCCTGGGACAACAGCAGTCGAAGGTGAGTGAGCCACGGGGACGAGGGAACGAACCTAGCGCCCAGGTGTCCATCTCTCGGTGGCGAGGCACCCCTTTCCCGGGCTCCCCTCCAGAAGGGTGACACCCAGGTGCTTCCCCTTCCACCGCCGGGACCCCTGCCCCCCGACCGTGGGTCTCTTCGCAGTTCTATTTATTGGAGACCCCAGACCCGAGTGCTCCAGGTAAGCAGAATGAACAGGAGAGGAAGGTCTCTCTCCCCGAGGTCACGCTTTCTCCCCCACTGCCACCTTGGGGTTCCCTTGCTACACCCATGTCACGTCCATACCGAACTGCTCCCTTCCAGTAGGGCTTGAGGGGTGCGGGGTGCCGCGGTGGCACAGAAAAAGACCGAGAGACTTGGCGTCTGTGTTGCCTGTGCGTGTTCTCCGGGAGACTGAGGCAAGGAGAAAGGGGAAAACGCTGCTGAGTGGTCCCGAGGATCTTGAAGAACTGTTGCAGCGGCTTCTATAGCCCAAGAATAGTAAACGCAGGTAGAAATGCCCACTTGGATTCCAAGGCATTGGTGGAAGAGGCAGAGATCTGTGACAGAAACAGTTCTGAGCTAGCAGTGCAGAACACTTAGGATCCTAAGTCCCTACCCCTTTCTGGGCCTCAGTTTCTCCATTGGCAGGAAGTGGGGAAGGGAGGGCAGGGGCACAATGAAGCTGATGACTTTGGAGGGCATGCTTGGAGAAGCTGCAAAATCCTCAAGCTGTTTTCTGAAGAGTTTCCTGCTGTGGGGCAGTCTCCCTACCCAGGCCCCAGTGCCCACCTTGGCATGGGCAAACCTGGCAGTTGGCAAAAACTGGTGACTGCCAATTCAGAAGAGGCGGAATTCTCCAGAACCCAGTCTATCCCCAGCAGGATTTGTGACACTTAGCTGGAGTGGGGATGCCCTAGCATGCTTATCTCCTTGGACAGTATGTGCTGGGGGGGACGGGGGTTAGGAGGGGGCTCTGTAGAACTTTGTTCTTCCCCGGGGGGCAGGGGGTGGGGGAGGCAGAGGCCAAGCATACGGATAGACCCAAAGAGAAAGATTTCTGTCTCCAACCTCCCAACACACATAACACACACACACACACACACACACACACACACACACATTTGCATAAGCTCAAGCTTTGAGCTTCTGTGTTTCTAAAATTCTCTCAGTTTTTAAGATCTTAGGAGTCCATAATTCTGTTTCCAAAATTCTATCCATTTCTCAGGAAGCCCATTCCTAGTACAGGGTTCCTTCCATCTGTTTCTAACCTCCTTTCTGTCCTCAGCCTAAATCCCATTAGTCAGCCCCTCCTTGGAGTCAGTGTAGAGAATGCGTGGATGTGAAGCCAGTTCACCCAAGCTTCCTCTCTATCCAGCCCTGTTCACAATCCCCAACTCAGAAGACATTTTCCAGGTCAGGGATGGGACTGAGTTGCAAGATTGGGATGTGGGGTAGAGATGGGGGGGGGGCTCTGTCAGGCCTGCATCATAGAATCAACCCCATCTCCTCAGTTTGGGGAGAGCCAGAGAAGGGAAAATTGGGTCCTACCTCAAGAAGGGTGGAGATAAGATGTGTGTTTGCAGAACTCTGGGAGAGATAGATGGATTCAGAGAGAACAACGTGGGTATGGTCTAGAACAGTTTTAGGGTGAGGAGTGATCATATCAGATAGAGCCATTCAGGGCTTGCTGGTTAGTGACAGCCTGGACATGCCCATCTCTCTTCCCAGGTCATTAGAGTTGAGATGTCATAGCTGTGGGTCTAGGACTGAGCTATTTTCCTTACCTCCAACCCCAGGGCGAAGGGATGGGGGAGCATGTGGAGAACGGAGATGGACAAAAGGTGACTGCCCCTGAAGGATATTTGTCTCCTCCCAATCCAAAGGGACAAGCTAGGGAACAAAGGGAATCCTCCTTTCCTTTCTATGTCCCCTCCCCAGTCCAGCTTAAGGCTGCCCAGGCTCCCTGTCCTTGCTCTACAAAAGGACTTTGCAGAAGCGGGAGACAGTAACAACTGCTGCCGTGCATGGGATCCTAGTAACTGCTGGTTTCTCGGTGACTAAACCAGGCAGAGAGGATCATGGAACCACAGGCTGACCATCAGACTTGAAGGGCCCTTCAGACAGCACTGAATCTGAGTCCATCCTACAATAGAGGAACCAGAGCCCCAGAGAAGGGAAAGGAATGGTCACACAGTGTCAGCGGCACACTCAGGCCTCCTGCCTTCCAGGCCATTTCCCCTTTCACTGCACTGATGGCAGTGAAGATGGAGAGCAGAGACACAAGACCAGCAGCGCCAGCCAGTCAGGGTCGTGGCTGAACTCCACATCCAACTCTCAAGCCTTCAGAACTCTCCTCTCCTGCCCAGCTGTGGGAGGGTTGGGGCACTCTCACTGCTTCTCCCCTCTATGTCATCCAGCCTCCCTGTTTAAGGTGCAGGGTTGGGGGAGTCCATGGGCCCAGAGGAGGGAAGAAGGCTCACATAAGGACTGAGATGCAGTGCTCAGTGGTGGGCACAGGATGTGGCTTCCCCAACCCTCCTCAGCCCAAGTCCAAAGCATCAGCCTCAGTGGCCCCAGTGGAAAGTGGGGGGGCTTTGTCACTCATCCCTTCTGCTGGAGACACCTTGTCTAGCACATCAGCTTCATACTGGCTGGGGAACATCAAATCTCTCTTCACAGTGACATTGAAACCTCAGAGCCCTTTACCCTAGCTGCAGGTGGAGTAATCACCATCCCTTGACAGAGGCTTTCAAGCTTGTTTTAATCTGCCAGTAGATTTTACAACCATTTTGGGAAGTAGCATGCTTATCCCCTTGGACAGTATATGCCCAGAGAGTGAAAGTGACTTGCCCAGAGCCCCCCAGCCTGCAAAGACTAGAATCTAATGAGAGGGGGTTTCCTTGGCCCTTAAACAGTAGCCAGAAGCTGATCCTCCTGTTGCTTACGAGCTCCCGTTATTTGGACAGCCTCATGGTATTTTTCTCTTCATTTCCCAGGCTTCATTTTTGGATCAGGATGGAGTGGAGGAAGTAGAGAGGCGTGTAGGGAGGACTTTTTCTGGCGGTTAGACCTCTGTGGCCAGCTGGGTGTTTTTGTTATGGCCCGGTTTGTTTGCATTTTAAGGTGGAACTGATCCCAGCTGAGACTAAGGAGGCCCAGGGGGCAGGAGAAATGTTGAGCTGAGGTCTTGGGCCTGCCTCCAGTACCCACCAAAAGTCATGGGGTGTGGAATATTAGACTCATGTAAAGCAGAGGGTTTGCACCAGAGCCAGGAAGAGAGCTAGCAGCTGCCAGGGAATGGCCTGGTGGAGAGAGTCCAGCCCCACCCAGTTGAGCAGGCCTGTAGCATCTTCATGAGGCAGCTCTTCTGCAAGCTGCTAGAGCCACACCCTTCCAGCCCAGTCGGACCCAGGTTCCTTGCCTCAACAGCAAGTTTTCCAGAATTGGTGGGAAGAGAGGGAGTCAACTTGTTTCTCTAAGTTCAACCACCCATCTCTGTCCTCTCATGGTCTATCAAGCTAGTTTGCGTTCTATCTGTCTTTCCACCTCTCATAGGATGTTAGGGCCAGAAAGGATCTTAAAAAACACCTTATAGAATGGTTTCAAGCTCTTCCTTTCCCATCATGGCTACCCCACCTACTGAATCATGTCATTGATGCAATGCCACCCTCTTAAGAGTGGACCCAGAGTTTTGTAGTCTGCCTCAAGGACAAGGTAGAGGTAGAGTGGGTCACAGGAAATATACTGCTAGCCAGCAGTAATCCTAGTCCCTCCTCTCCTGCTGACAGTGAGGGTGCCAAGCCATCTTGATTGAGAATAGCTGGTCCAATTCAAGATTCTTGTTTTATAAATAAGGAAACTGAGGCTCTGGGAAGAAAGGGCAGTTCAAAACCACACAGGGAGTTAGTGGCACAGCTAGACATGGAACTGAGGTCTCCCAACCCACAGTCCACTATACTCCACCCCTTCTTGTCCTGGAGCAGCAGTTGGGCAGAGAGGAAGGTTTAATGGTCACTGCCACAACTGCTCAGTTACATGGAATATCTAATATATCCGGGCACTGTTGCTTTACCCTGTCATCACATTTAATTCTCATGGCAGGTCCTTTCCCATTCCTGACTCCCAGTCCTATCTCCCTGTTTTATGACAACATACATGACAACATGGGATCTTTCATTATCTCATCCTTCCAGTCCTCCAGATTTGCAGCCTCTGAATCACCACTCTCCATACTGACACTTCCTCCTTTCTGTTCAGTGTTTCCTTCACAATGGTCTAGCTCATCACTTGCCTGGGTGTTGCAACAGCCACCCAACCAGTCTCCATCAGCCCAGCCAGTAATTGCAACATCAGGGTAGTCTTCCTCTGAGCCTAGTAAATGTTCCTAAATTGACATGTGATGTGGAAATAATTATAATAAGTCATTCTCCAGGGTTCCATAGCACTCACTTATTAAATGCTTATTAAATGCTTAATATTAAGTGCTTATTAAGCACATATTACATGCTTTCAAAATAATTACGTTCTACAAGGAACTAGGAGACCTTGCTTTTAAACCAGTTCTAATTCTCGGTGTGCTCTTGCGCAAGTCACTCTCCCTGATAGGATTTTTCATCATCTTGCAAACGGAGATATCCAAGTTCCCTCATTACGTTCTACAAGGAACTAGGAGACCTTGCTTTTAAACCAGTTCTAATTCTCGGTGTGCTCTTGGGCAAGTCACTCTCCCTGATAGGATTTTTCATCATCTTGCAAACGGAGATATCCAAGTTCCCTTCCAGCTCTAACTGCTCCCTGGTGCTGATCTTTGTTCCAGATGGACTGCCATACCAGCGTGAGTGGCACCATTTTCGAGTATGGAGCCCTCACCATCGATGGGGAGGAGTACATCCCTTTCAAGCATTACGCTGGCAAGTACATCCTCTTTGTCAACGTGGCCAGCTACTGAGGCCTGACAGGCCAATACATTGGTAAGAGCCCACCCTTCCTCCCCTGCTTTATTTGGGGCTGTTCTGCCAGTCCGGCACATTTCAATCACAGGAGCCTGTCTGGTGCATGGAATCATGAGATTCCAAACCCTGTATCTCAACTCCACTGTGTTCCATGGTTATTTGGACACAATTACATAAGCCTAAGGTCTGGTTGCCTTTGGACATATTCTAGGAGATTCCTAGTTATCCTTCTTCATCACTGGGCACCTCAACTATCCTAAAAGCCAGGAGATGGAGGAGACTAGGTGTATGCCTGGAGCTCCGTTTGGAGTTAAGAAGTGTAGCTGGAGCTCAGTCTTGCTGAAAATGTCTCATCTTCCCTCTGCCCCATCCACCTTGTGCTTGTCTTGGCCCCTCTCTGGAAAGAGGGCAATTGGCCTGAGGCTTCAGAGTGTGTGTAGGGTGTGGGGTAGGTGAAGCGGCAGGCTACATTTCTAACATCCATTCTAAAATAGTCTTTGAAGATGATCTAGTTCAGCCTTCCCCTCTCCTCAGTTTACAGACAAGAAAGCCAAAGCTCAGAGTGAAAACACAACAAGGGTCTCAAATCTATTGGTGACAGAAGCGGACATTTGACCTGGGTTTCTTGACCCCCTAATTTCCTCCTTTCTCCTTAGCTGGGGCAGAACAAAAGCCTGAGGGAACAGACAGGCCAAAGGCATGTAACAGCACCCAGGGGAATAAGATGCTTTGGGTTTGAGCATGGGCTGCTGGCAAGGGCTCGGGCAGGCCAGGGCAATCTGACCCTGAATGTTCTGTCTGGCAATTGCAGGCAAATTCCTGGAAGTGGAATGACAGTGGTCTGCACGGCCCAGTGGCAGTGAGCACTCTGCCCAGAATGCTTGTCGAGCCCTTGGAACAGAGCAGAGTGTTCTTGTCCAAGAGACAGGCTGGGTGCTCGCACTGCACAAGAGTCCAGGGGGTACTGAGGAAACTGGGGAGGTGGGCCAGGGCCTCCCTTGGGTTCCTGAATTCCCAGAATATGGGAAGGCTGTAAGGGCTTCACCCCACTCCACCCAAGGAAGTTCTCAGCTTTCTGCCCAAGAATAGGTGGTTCCTGCTCCAGGAAACTCAATCCTGAGTCCAGAATGAGCTCTCATCCAACTGGCCTAGGTGGTGGGCCTTGGCAGTGGAAGCATTAACGGCTGATTTGAGGAAGGGTAGTTCTTTTCCCAAAACCTCCAGTCCATCAAGATTGGAGTCAGGTGGACAGGACCTGAATCCCAGCACTGCACAAACTCACTGGGTGATGGTGGGCAAGTCCCTTCTCCTCTCAGACCTCAGTGATGTCAGCTGTACAGTGGGTGAGCAGGGGAGTGTTGTGGAGGAGGTGGGCTCCTCACCAGGCTCCCTGTGTCCACTCTCTCCCCCTGGCCCAGAACTGAATGCACTACAGGAAGAGCTTGCACCATTTGGTTTGGTCATTCTGGGCTTCCCCTGCAACCAATTTGGAAAACAAGAACCAGGAGAGAACTCGGAGATCCTACCTACCCTCAGGTGAGTGCTCACTCAGTGTCCTGAGCAAGCTCCTCCAGCTCAGCCTGTCTTGGGTCTACCCCTGTTCATGATGGACCTTTATCTGCCATCAAGAACCATTCTTCCCTTCTACAAATAAGGGAGGGGACAGGAGAGGGAGAAGGACAGGGATGACTGGTTGTACATGACAGAGAGGACGGGGAGTACTGAGATGGGGGTGGGGAGGTGCTGAGAATGGTCTAAGCTAGGAAAGACCACAGACCCACGTTATAAGTACATCCTCTTTGTCAACGTGGCCAGCTACTGAGGCAGTAAAGTGGCAGGACGAGAAAAGAAATGGAGTGCTTTGGGCCCATTTTTTGGCTTCTACCTAGGCCCACTTTACTTCTCTCACTGAGGATTTGGAGTTTATAAAACCAGTTCATATCTACTCTCATCCCCTCCCACAGTTCTCCAAAGCAGCTAGGGTTAAGAAGAGGTGTTCCATTTGACAGATGAGGAAACTGAGGCTCACAGAAGGGTCAGGCCTTGCCCCAGGTCTCCTGACGAGTTATAGGACTGGAATTTAAACCTAGGCCCCCTGACTCCCAGCTCAGGTTCCTTCCACGGCCCCTGGACTGGGAGGACCCTACCCTCAGGGAGGCTCTGGACAGGCCCCAGGGGATATCAGCCAAGAGTAATGGTGACTCTCTTGAAGAAATGGGGGGAAAGGCGTACAGGAAGAGGGGGCCAGGAAAGCAGCACTGTGATTGGCTGAGAGGGCAACATTAGCCATAGTATAAAAGCACACCAGTCATAGAATAATAATCTTCAACTCGGATTTACGTCCAAGATTTGTGCAAACAGCTGCCCAGGGACAGACGGCCACCCAATCTGGGCCTCTGGCACCACAAGCCTCCAGCTGCAGGGCAAGGGCCTGAACTTCAGGGCCAAGCAGTTCCAGGCTGAGGCCCCTTGGCAGATGTGGCCAGTGTGGCCTCCATCCCAGGCTGCTGTGGCTCTGGCAAGGCTACTGTAGGTGGAGGTGGAGAGAGCCCCAGCATCAGAACTGTCGTTCACTTCTGCTCTGGAGATAAACCTGTTCTTCCCGCAGCTCCTCACAGAGGGGTAGGGATGAATGTGGGGCAGGTCCTACTATAGATCTTGACCAAAAATTAAACAGACACATAAATTGGACATGGCACCTGGAGGGGCCAGAACCAGTTCTGGGAACATTTTGAAAGGAAGCCTGGGCTGCACCCCACTGTTAAGGTGGTCTTCTCCCGGAGGCTTTAACAAAGGATGGCAGGTCAAAGCTGGAAGAGGCTTCTCTCTACTTGGTGGCAGGGTAGTGAGTCTTCCCTGGTCATTTCCAGAGGAGGAGCCCAAATGGAAGTCCTCTGGGTGGGGCTTCCCCAGTCTTGTATACAGTTCAGGTCCAGGCCAAGGGTATGAGCTGGCTGCCGATCTCAGCCTCCTGTCCAGCCGAGGCTCTGGCCACACAAGCATGTGGCCTTTAGTTTTTCAGTAATCTGAAGTCAGCTGGCTCTGCAAGATGAAGGTGGAGCCAAATGACATAATCTCGTCTCACTGAGGCCCCTCACGGTCATTTTTTGCAGACTCTACATAAACAAAAAAATTTGAGGACTTAAAGAGTATGGGTAGAGTAAGTTTCAAAGTCTTATGGAAACCAACACAGTAACAGTGAAAATAACAGCTAGAGTTACTGAGTACTACATAGTGCCAGACCCTGGGCTAGGTACCTCAGGTACACCCGTCACGTAATCCTCACCAGCCCTATGAAGGAGGCAGGTTAGTATTCCTCTATGGAGGAGGGGACTGGGACACAGAGAGATTTCAAGAAGACTCGCCCAAAGTCCCAAATATAGAGAGCAGTGGAGCGGGGATTTGAACCCAGTCAGTTTGGCTCCAGATTCCAGAGGTGGAGCAGTTCTGGGGAAGGAAGAGCCTGCCCAGTAGGCCACCCTCTGCCCCTCATCAAAGCAGCCTCCAAGGGGCTCCACAGAACCTTTAGGGCTCTGTGGGGAACCACTAAAAAATGACTGACCAGACCAATCCCTTCCTTCAAACACTAAATTCTCCAAACCACACTCCTACCACGTTGTCCATCCGGAAGCCTCTGCTCACACTACCTCCTGACAGAGCTAGCTCCATTTCTGTACAACTCAAACCCTTAGAAAGTTCCCCTTCGGGCCGGCCTGGTGGCACACTGGATAAGTGCGCCGCTTGGGAGCGCGGTGGCACTCCCGCCCGAGGGTTCGGATCCCACATGCAGACCGGTTCCCGCTCACTGGCTGAGCGAGGCACGGGAGCAACGCCGAGGGTTGCAATCCCGTTGCCGGTCCCCGGTCCGGTACGGGGGCAACACTGAGGGTTGCGATCCGTTGCCGGACACGGAAAAAGACAAAAGACAAAAA